AATCAACAGATATCGTGAGGAGAGACGCAACTTGTTTGCGGACTCGGCTTACGCTCCCACTGACTGCAGTCCCGGCTCGGTCAAGGACGATTTCTACCGTGAATTTCACCACTTCTTGGGCAGAGTTTGCAAATTCGAAATCGTTGTCCTTGCTGGGGATCTCAACGCACGGGTCGGTCGTCTGTTTTCATGCGAAGGTCACCTCAGTGGTCACCATGCGCTCGATGAGAACCGCTCGGATAATGGGGAGAGATTTTTCAGATTGTGCGAAGACATTCGTTTATCTCTGTCGAACATCAGCTTTCGGCATTCGGGAGTCATTCCGCTACTTGGTGACCCCCTTCTGCACCCCAATCGTGGTCTCAGATTGCTCATATCGCAGTCAGTTTCAGATTGCGAATTACTCTGGTCCACCTTTCTTGACTCTGACCATACTTTTGTTTGCACGAATATCTGCATGAGCTTCGAAGGGTCCCCAAAAACGAAGCACTGTAAGCTGGATACAAATAAACTATCTGCTCTCTCAGTTCAGCAGAGCTATCATGTTTCCCAGGCCGGTGCTCTTAGTTGTGACACTCCGCAAGACTGATGAACACTGGACGTTCATGCTGAGCACCATGATATCTTTTGGGCAGTTAGTCTGTGGTCTTACTCAGCACCCTACGAAGGCCTGGGTCTCCACGCGCTCTTTAGATCTATTTGCTTGCCGCAGGTATATCCCTGCGGTACATCCCTGCGCCGTTCTGTCAGCCGACAGCTCTAACGAGGCCTACGCAGTGCTCCTGAAGCCTGGTGGTCTCAGCGCGCTTCTGAAATGGAGGCCGCTTCCCTATCGGGCAGTACTTACTAGCTCTTTCAGCTCATTCGATCCACTGGCCACAAAAAGTCTGGTGTCATTGAGACTATTTGCGAAGTGGATGGTTCGCAGATTGTCAACCTACAGAGACGCTTGGATCGATGACCCGAACATTTTCATCCCCAGTTCAATTGACCCACACCGTCCATTTGTATGCCCTGCGAACCATGCCGCTCGCCCTGGGTCATCCCAGTTGATCCGCCCAGTGAAGTGGAAGTTCGCCTTGCGACTCGACATCTGAGACGACTTAAGTCTGCTGACTCAGACGGACTTCCTCCCGAGCTGTTCAACTATGGAGGCGCAGTTATCATCAGTCAGTTAAACTGATTGTTCTCCAAAATTTGGCATGACGAAAGATTCTTTCTTCCTGGAGCGAGTCAGTTATTGTCTTGATCTATAAGAAGATTGCTCGCAATTCATGCACCAAACACTGGGGAATTGGTCTCATTTCGGTTGCTTCCAAGCTTTTCGCGTCCATTCTACACCGTAGACTTTCGCCCTTTCGTGAATCGCAGTACCTCGAAGAACAAGCTGGCTTCCGTCCTTTCCATGGGTGCGTGGATCAAATATTCACGCCCCGCCAAATCCTCGAACACCGCCAACGCTACCAAAAGCCTACCATGGTATCACTTTTGGACATCCATGCTGCATTTGTTTCGGCTGATCGGCCTGCGCTGTGGCGCAACTTGCTTTGGAACGGGGGCTCAGAAAAGTACACGCCCATCCTGCGCGCACTCTTATTTCCACGTCTCCGGCAAAGTGAAGGCCTATGGCAAGCTTTCGTCGCCATTTGCTGTGAATAGCGGGGTACGACTGAACTGCTCTTTGTCCCCTTTTCTCTTTAATTTTGTGATTGAAGACATCCTGTCGAGAGCTTTGGAAAGTTGTCAAAATTTTGAACTGCAACTACTACCGGGCAGGCAAGCGAATGACTTAGCTTATGCCGATGACATCGCTTTACTTGGTGACGACTCGCAGAGCAAGCAAACCGTTTTAAACCGTTTGGCGATCGAGGCATCTAAGTTCGGTCTGTGCGTCGCCCCATGGAAGTGTAAAGTTCTGCTCCAGGGTTGTCACTCGCCCGTTCTCGTGCTCACTCTTGATGGCACACAGCTTGAACAAGTGAATCGCTTTGTCTACCTTGGCAGCTGCGTGGGTGCTGGTGGCTCTATTGAGAAGGAAGTTTTTCTCCGCATCGCTAAAGCTCGGTCATCGTTCGTCATACTGAAGCACTTTGTGGCATCGTCGTGATGTCTCCCTATTGGTAAACGGTCGCGTGTTCAGTGCCACCGTTCGGGCGGTGTTGCTATATGGAAGTGAGTCGTGGCCAGTTCGAGCGGATAATATGCGCCGGCTCTCGGCTTTTGACAATGGGTGCTTGAGGAGCATTGCTCATGTGTGGTGACAACAACGCATTTTCAGTGGTGAAGCCCGATCTTGTGTCCTAGGGGATGCGAGTATGCCGCTTAACAAGCTGATATCACTGCGTCAGCTAAGATGGCTCGATCACGTTTTGCGTAGGTCAGCTGAGTCTTTGGCTTATCACGCCCTTTTCGCTCGTGCAGGACTTGGCTGGAAGGGACCACATGGTAGTCAGCCGTCCACTTGGCATCAACATATGAAATCGTTGACTTTACGTCTTGCTGCCTTTGGGTCCACACGCGTGCATGGTTGGGGACCAAAAAATGAAGAGTGTCGGTGGCTAGAAACATTGCAACATATGTCGCGTAGTCGAAACCAGTGGAAGATTTGTGTACATACTTGTTTAGATTCAGATGTCTAATGCTTAACAACGGAAAACGACAAAAATTGTCGTGTAAAAAAGTAAACAAAAGCAGTTCCGTTCTTCCTTCGGCACAATAGCTGAAGTGCGTTGCTCACCTTCAGCTAATGCGCCATGATAATGATATGGTGATTAAACCTGTGTTCTTCTTATGGTTTCCATGGTCTTGTTTGTTTCCATGTCTGTTCGTTAGACTGTTGCCAATACGTACACACATACATAACCTCTTAATCGTGTTTTTGATTCGTTGTGTTCTGTTGTCACAGTATGTTCTGCATTCGGTATCACGCTATTTCACACTGGGTATATTCTGAAGTCGCGATATTTCCACGCAGTTGCACCATCCACTCCCCTCCAGTCATTTTGAATCTGGTTACCTGGAATACATCCACGAACTGCTATCGACTCTACGACAAGGAGCGCACCATGTGGATGTTCTTCTTAGGTAGAAAAATGATGAGCGTATCCACTTCGGCTAGCGCCAGTATCCACATGCTTCTGCGGATGAGTAGAAGGTCATGAAAGCACAATCAGCTTCGGGAGGGCATATCTCCACGGCGGCAGCAGCCTACGGATTTGTTCCTCAATGAGCCGACTACCCGTACACGTATTTAAGCCTGGATGCTGGCGTCATCGAGTGTAGTCTTTGTTTACAACTTCACAGAATCTCAGCCATTTATTATTGAAGTGTAAACTGTGACAGCTGGGCGGATGCCGCTCCATTTTACTGGTTATTCTCTGTGTTTTACCTACTTACCCCAACACTATGCTAGACAATCTTCATTACAAGCTCATAGCTGATTTCGTTACCGGCTTGCAATTTTCCACGTGCATTTTCACTGGAGATTTTACTAAATTTAATAGCCGTCATCACTGCCTTCGGGTTACAATGTATTGTGAAATCTCTCCAGATTGGAGACATTTCCATAGCTAATCTATGTTAATGCACTGGAGTTTAGTTCAGTTCATTTCATCAACCATTGTCCTCCCATAGGGCTTTATGAATATCCAACTCCCTTGACTCACGTTTAACAGCTCTAGCAATGCGTGCAATGACCACTTCCGTGGTGTCACTACCAGAAGCGATGCGAGCGATTGTTCGGTGACTATAAGAAATACTAGTTTGTCGGCCCAGTCTTGCCACTGTAGCTTATGCCTCAAAGATGCAAAAGTATGCCGGAGCCTACGGTATTTCGCATTAGCAACGTCTAGATAAAAGCTGAATCCGATGTAACGCGGATAACATCGTCCACATACTGTTTGGTAGTCGGCCACCAAACAAAACCTTTATGGGAAGCAGGAAGAGGCCAGAGAAAATTATCTATGATCATTTCTAACAAAACTCTAAAGGGAAATGGAGACCCATGCAATCCTAATGCGCTCCACTTGTTGCATGGAGACTTCCCTTGACCTGTGCACGGCCTGTGCAGTTGTGATATGGAAATATTAGATCAGGAATCGTTTTCTCTAGCGCTGCCGCAAACAAGTGCAATCAGGCTTTATCAAACGTGGCCTTCAGGTCAGGGAAGATCATCATTGTAAACTGCTTGTGAGTATGGTAACATTCAATTACCTACTAAAGAATAAGCATGTGGCTAATGCACTCTATGCCCAATTCTCACCGACTAATCTCTCATAAGAATCAGGGAGCCGCCGCAAATTGATGCACGTTGACAGTCTACTGACAGCTGAGACGAGACTGATACCACGATGATTTTCGCAAGGGGCTCTTTTACCGTTTTTTGCTGACTGCGCTCCATCGATAGAACCGTTTTGTGCCATTTATCTTTTAGGTGGAGATGAAGTGAGGATATGGTCAGGCATTTATGGTTCCTAACTACTTCGTAATATTTCATCTGGCCCCTTTACTTCGCTCCTCTGGTCTCAAGAAGCAAAACAGCCGCACTCAATAAAAGAATAACATACTACCGATAAGAAGTAACCGCCTAGCAGGTCTTGTGGTATTATCAGGACAATAATAATCGAATAAACACAAAAATATGTCAGTAAATTTTAGTGCAGACGGTGGACTCGGAGAAATATTCACTAGATAACAGTTATACATCCACACGGTTCGAATTTGTGATTACTCCGTTTATCTGAGTTATGCAAACTCCTGATGTGATACTCAATGAAAATTGTTGGGCACCTTGCTCTCCCACGTGTTGCTAATTCTATTCCATTGACTTCTGAAGCATCTTTTCCTATATGTGCCTAGGCTTTCTTTCGCTTACAGGCGTTCTTTTTCACTAAAATGGTAACAGCTACTCGCTGTTTTATATTTTTGCGCGCTTTTAAAGTTGCAGTTTCCATTTTTCGTCTAATATCTTATCTATGCCTGTGCTCTCGACACCTTTCTAGGGCAAGCGTTACGTGAGCGGTATTGGATCTGCCTCGCGCAACGCTCTCTTCCATTTGCACAACGGCGACGACATCATCCTAGTCACCACTTGCCGGCACGGTTCTGGTTGGGCTCGTTATGCAGATAAACGTTGTCCAATCGATATGGCTCTCTATGACAAGTCAGTAGACCTATGCTTTCTTGCATTCCCATCTCATCTTTCTGGTAGCCCGTTCCCTCCCTGCGTTTTTTTGTTTCCTTTTATCCAATGTACGATATCGTCTTTTCACGGCGCTAGTTTTCTTAATGTACTAAATCATCACTTATCACAAGCCTTGACTAGATCCTCTGCGGCCAGGTGTCCTACGAATCATCTTACTTTCTCTGACCTGATTCGGGGTTTTCACTTGTGCGCCTTCTTTAGTTATCCACACGATCATCCACGATTCGCCCCTTTGGTTCTGTCATTTTCAAAAACCGATGCTGATGATCATCATCATTTCCACCACGCCTGTTACCAAGGTAATGTTTTGTGACAAACGGCGATTTTCTTAGAATGTAACATAGTCCACTCTTTGCTCAAGTTTTTTTAATCACTCACACCTGTTTGGAAGAAAGGCACCCGCGACCGTCCTACTTCTTGCCATCCAATCATCATGTGCAATTTGTCTCTGCTCCGATAACATGTTCACATCACACATCACAAATGCTCATCGGATGGGCGGTGTCCACGAATCCCAATTGACTACATTGCTGCTACTCATCGTCATGGACAGTGAATTTCATGATGATGTCGGCAAAGTACATACTTCCATTCAGAAATACTGGATTGCTACCCCACCTCAATTTCCTGCCACACCTTCAACCTGCTACGAAGCGAGTCGAAGTGACTCAAAACAACCTGTTGACGATGGCTGAATCCGTTGTATTCAAACAACCGCGACTAGCGTTGTGTAGGGTCTCCCGTCTAAGGCTTCGTTTTGCTGTAGCCGTACGCTTACGTGAGGCTATATCAGCCGGGTTCTGCTTCGAATTTACGTAGCGCCACTGACTGGGATGAGAGTATTGTTGTATGATGGTAATCCGGTTAGCAACGTACGTCGGGAAACGCCCATTAACACTTCGAAGAAGCTTCAGAACTACCATGGAGTCTGTCCAGAACGTTGTGCTACAATGGAATGCCATCTCCTCTCTGACTTTCGCTGACATACGCACGTTCAGTACGGCAGCAGCGAGCTCCAACCTTGGTATCGACACCGTTCTAATGGGACTGACACATGATTTACTAATAATCAGGAAACTACTGACGTTGCCTTCATCAACCTCGCAACGCCAATATAGAGCAGCACCGTAAGCAGCCTCAGACGCATCCGAAAAACGATGCAGCTGCACAGAAGATACACTGCATCCGAATGGATTAATACAACATTCGACGTACAAACTGTTTAGACCATTGGCGTTTGATAACCATTTGCTCCAAGCTTGCTGATTCTTTGTGGGAAGAGGCTCATTCCAATCCAGCTTTCTTTCTACGAAACTCTGTAACAGTATCTTTGTCGGAAGTAGCACAGGAGAAATGAGGCCGAGAGGATCATAAACGGAAGCTGCAAACGAGAGGATGGCTCTTTGGGTCAACGTTTTATTAAAACCTTCCAGCATAAAAGTTAGGTGGTCCTGAGCGACTTTCCAGTTTAAACCAAGCGCAGTTGTAACACAATCGTCCCCAGTCGAATATTTTATTCCGCGAATCTTCAGTTCGCTGTCAGGTAGATGCGCGATAACCTCCTTTCGATTTCTGATCTATTTCGTCAAACGAAATTCTCCGTCGGATGGAATACGGGTAAGGTGTATAACGTGTTCAGTTGCTTCGGGAACAGAATCAACACTAAATAAACAATCGTCGACATAAAAACAGTTCTCTGCTACTTCTTTAGCCTTTGTTTGAGATTCACAATAACTGTCAACGATAGCTTGTCGTAATGCAAATGTAGCACAGCTTGGTGACGAAGTAGCGCCAAACGGATGTACAGTCATGCGGTATTCAATAAGGGGTAAACAAAGATTGCCATTTTTCCACCACAGGAACCTCAAACAATTCCGATCCTTAATAAGAACCTTAACCTGATGAAACATTGTTTCAATGTCGGACGCAACGGCGATCGGGTGAAACCTGAACCGTAAAAGCGTCCCCACTAGACTGTTTGACATATCGGGACCAGGTAGAAGTTGTTGATTGAGAGAAGTTCCATGGTATGAAGCTTGACAATCGAAGACCACTCGCACTTTACCGGGCTTACGGGGATGCGATACCGAGTGGTGGGGTATGTACCAGGTTTCCCCTTTAATCTGCTGTTCCTGTACTGGAGCGAGTTCAGCATATCCTCTAAATATATATTCTTTCACTGCCTTGGTGTATGCTTGGCGCAATGCGGCATTCTTCAGCAAACGTTTCTTCAACATGGCAAGCCTAATCAGTGCGAATTGTCGGTTATCTGGTAACCGAGGTCTCGCGGCTTGCCATGGTAACGCAATCTCGTAGTGGGTACCAACTTTTCTTTTAGAAGCTTCCATTAGTCTTAGCGCGCGTCTGTCGTTCACAGACATGGCTAGTCGTGGACTATCTAGTCCATCAAATTCCCTTTCATACATTCGCTCTAGTAGTTGATGAAGATCAGTGGTATCGCAGCGATGTGGATTGATCTCTCATAATCTCGTGCTGTTTGTTCGGTCCCAGTACGATCCAGCGCAATGGAGTTTTAACAGCATACGGATCATCAGGATCCCCGCGTCTCTGATCTAATGCCCAGTGTAGGTATGGCTTATCGCAACCAATCAGAAGTTCAACCCTTCCTTCCAGCTCCGATAACCGTAGATCGGAGAGGTGGGACCATCTGGCGAAATCGTTGTTCCTGTTTCTCGTTCCAAGTTTTTCAGGGAGACAACTGACTGACCTAATTGAATCTAATTGGATTGCCTCATCCCCATCTATAGATCGAACAGTTACACTAACCAACTGAGACTCCACTTGACATCGGCCAGCAACGGTGCTAATGTTAAATGTCGTCACGGACCCTTGAACCCCGATAACTTGTAGTAATGTTGAATCAATCAGTGAAGTATCTGATCCATTATTTATCAAGGCTAATGTTCGAATGGTGCCAGCAGGCCCAGAAACGAGCACAGGTAACAAGCCAAGCGACACAACAGAGCGTTCGACGTGACTGAGAGCAAAACTGGATCCTTCAGTGTTTGCTGTTCCGAAGTTGCTTCGATCAACGTGGAGTAGCGGGTGGTGCAGCAGCTTACAATTGTTCGACCCACAACACCTTCGTGATCGACAATTTGGTAGGTCATGATTCGGTTTGAGACAGAGCTGACACAGTCTATGGGCGCGACAGAATTCAAGACGTTTGTTGAGGCTGAGATTTCGGAAATCATCGCACTGATCTAGGTGGTGGCGTTGTTCACAAGAAAGACATTTAGGGAAATTTCGTTCTGATAAAGCGGCAATGTTTAGGCAAGCGGCATATCCCCGAGAGTTTAAGCTTCTGCCTCTATCGGTGATGGCCTGTGGTCCGCAGGGACGTGCGGCAAAGGACAAGTAAGTATCGACGACGTCTGCGGTTTCATCCGCGAAATCTGTCAAATCAATGAAGTTCGGTTCCCTTTCGGTGCGGATAACTCTGGCGGCATGCTCAGTCCACTTGAATTGCAGATGGTTAGGCAGCCTCCTGATGATAGAGCTGATTGTTCTGGACGCGTTCAAATTGGATTCATACCTCAACTGTTTCAACGTCAAGTAGCATGAACGCAGTTCCACAGCTAAACGAGACAGATCCGCGAAATCATTGGGCCTGATGTTAGGGCCATCAGTTAGAGCATTAATGTGAGTCCTAGCAATCATGTGGGGCCGTCCGAAGCGTCTGCGCAAAATGTTCATTGCTTCTTCAAAACCTTCACTAGGGTCGAGTATTAAGCAACTTTCGATAGCTTCTTTGGCTTCGCCACAACAGTATTGTATCAGATAAGAAAGCCTGATAGTTGGATCGGAAGTAGTTCTGGAAACATTGGCTTCGAAGCATCGCATAAGCATCCAATAGCGGGCAGGATCTCCATCGAATGTTATCAGTTCACGTTTTGGAAGAAAGGATGACATGCTGGGTCCAAAATCGCTTGATTTGCGTTCCGGACACAGGTTACCGTCAGCTCTAAGGCGGGAGCAAAATGCTCCCGACTGGGATGGAACGCCGGTACCATCGGATGCCAACGGACCAACCAACTGAGCTACGGATGCGACGTGCGGACCCCTATTAACAGGTTTCACAAACGACGAGCAGATGGCAACTTCGGGAGGAAGCACACAATCGTCGGCCGGAATAAATCGCGAACGCTCATTAATAAGCGCATCCGACTCAAATTCAGGTTCGCAGTAGTCCTTAATATCAACGGTATTCGCCTGCAACATGCGCATGCTCGTTAAAGCCGACTCCAACAGACGAATACGGGATTCGGCTTTTCGAAGTTTCTCAGCATCAGTAACCTTAACATCACCAAAAGAATCACCAGAAACGGACATGATGTACCAACGATACTAAGCCTAAACTAAGTACGTCGTACGAAAACTAAACTAGAAACTACGAACAAATAAACCTAGGCTTAACGCACGGTCTGGGCAGAAGAATAAAACGAATTATCCTGTAACCGTGGTTCTATAAGGCATATTAAATACAATACATGACTTACGAATAAGTTTTGCAATCTTAATGCAAGTGGACAGAAACAGTCCTGCGTGGGGCGGATCGAGTATTTGGGCAGTGTCACAGTAACATAATAATAAGAATGACCTTGAAACGTCAAGGATGTGTCAGTGATCGAGTGAAAGTAATAAATATACGATATGTTAACCGCTTGTAGGACACAGTAAGGCAGTGTAAATGAGCAAGATAATTAGGGAATAGAGATACCGTGTCCTCATGTAAGCAATCCAGGTTTGGGATACATCAAAGTTTCTTTTGGACTTTACAGAGATCATGGGTGGCTTCCCTGCACCACCCACAGCTTTAACCACAAAACCCATATCCGGTGTAAACCAGACGGAATAAGACCGGGAGGCACGTGAATGGGAGCCACGTTTCATCAACGGAGCCGGCCCACACTCCTTCACAGGCAAACACAAGCACG